AAATACAATGACTTGGCTAAGGAGCACACTCTTTTAAATATTTTGAAATATTTTTTACATATTCCCTAAATTCGACGCTAGGATTATATGACCTTTCATTGTAAAGTTCATATAACCTTTGTCTACTCTTATGGGCTCCTATTGTCGCCCATTCCTTAAATTCCTTGCGATTATTCAAGGAGAATCTTTTAGAAGTAAAAGTATTATTAAATTCATTGCAAATAATTTTCCATACAAAAAATCTGGATTATTTTGGTATGAAAGTAATGGAAGTTTTTTTACTATGTTACTTCTAAACTTCTCCAAGCGATTTACTGGAACAAACACAACTTTTTTATCTACTTGCTTTTTGTGAACATAAGGTAATGAAGCTAATTGTCCACAGTGATCAGAGCTCAATTTTTAAATTATAGGTACATTTATTGAACGGCTTAACAATTGTAAAAATGTTATCCATACATGTTGCACTAGATTCAGCAATACGCGTTGGCTCCAAAAATAAATTAAAAAGACCATAAGATTTAAACAGTGGTCTAAATTTAATATTGGTGGAGGAAGCTTCTAGGAGATTGATATTAAAGTCTCCACATATTACAACAGATATATTCTGTTTATTAAGCATAGCGAAAACTTCCTCCATAATTTTTTCATCAGTCATCATCATCGTCATCAATCAGGTGCTCAAACTCAACACATGCTATTTCTACAGTTCGCTCAACAGAGTAATTCACAATATCTTTACTTTCTTTACATGATAATAATTTACTAGCTAAAATTATGGAGCCACCTCCTAAAACCTTTTCTCTATTGAAAGAACTGACCACCTGGTGATTACTGAACTTAAACATTAAATTATGAGCTTTTAACCAATGTTCAGTAATACATCAAATACGAATATTGTTGCTATTTAAGAACAATTCAATTTCTAGCTCTTTGCTTATCATGTCTTATATATTCTGATGCACCAGGTGTAAACAATTTTTATTATCATTTTGTGGAGTTATACAATTGCAACTATTAAGGATTTGTAAGCTACATTCTAAATTATTTAAATTATTATAACTGCTAGAGATTACCTCTATTGTCTCATTTTCTAATTTAAATTACTTGGAACGGGTTCCAAATGCTTCACATTATGCTGCTCAATAGGAGCAGATGTCTGGGTAGCCAAGTCCTTGGCTGAGTTAATATATAAATAATAAAATAGCACATTTGCTATCTGTCTTAAATTATATTTGGATAGGTGGTATACCTATCTGTAGTCAAAATTTTCTTAATTAAATTATTAATGTCTATTAAATTAATTATATTGGTATTATTACAATTAAATGCCAAATTTAAATTATTGTTACATGATAAATTATTCATTAATAAATTTAAATCATATCTTATTTTATTTTCCTGTGGCCAACCCTGTATGTAAGGCAATGTAAACAAGATAATTTTATGTACATTGCAAAGATGGATTTATCGAATTTTCTATGAACTATGAAAATTTCTTTCGACACTCAATCGTACTGAGCAAGTTAAGACTAGTATCGATGAACCCGCAGTTTGTTACCAGATTGCACCAGTAGCGTTTATTTAACACCATTTTGTTACAACATGATGCCTAACGGCGTACAGGCTACGAAATCTATGTTATTTCTATTTTCTAGTTTATATACCATCATACAAGGTAGAAATATAAACTAATTATTCGATATTGAGTAGTAGGTGGGCTTTAATTTTTGTAAATTTTAAAATATAAAGTATCTAAATGAAATTTCAAATCAACCATCGCCCCCCCTAAACCACGCTAACGCCCCCCCATTTTTCCTGGGCCTCTTAACGCCCCCCTCCAGGTCTCCAGGGGCACGTTATCGCCCACTTTGAGAAAGACTGGATTAAATCGTCATAAAAAATTAATGCAGCGTGCGTATTCATACAAAATGCACCTTACGTCCTCGTGCGAGTCTCTGTATCACTTAGCCCGTTGCGCGCCTTTGTTAAGGCCGCTACTACTTTAGGGTTAAGTGTTGTGAGAAAAAAAATTGAATCCTTTGATATTAGTTGATAGTAGAATACACCGAGGTGTTATACAATGTATTAGTAATTTGCTGATAATAATAACATTGTTGTTTAATGTGAGGAAGGTTAATATATAACATCGAGAAAAATTAATATTATAACAACGTGGACGTCTTTGAAACTCAGATAATTTACCTATTTACCATTTTAACCGACTTCAAAAAAAGGAAGAGGTCCTTAATTCGACTGTATTTTATTTGAAAGCTGGTGCACATAAATTTGATCAAGATCTAAGCAGAAATTTTGGATTTATCCTTAATAATGCGTATTTAATTGACTTCGACTACATTGACGATGTTTTCATTTTATTTATATTAAAGTCGATTGTACAAAAATTTTAATTACACCTGTATCACATTTTTTGCTATTTACAAACAAGCGAAACGCGAAAGCATTATAAATGAAAGAGTGGCAATGAGAAGTGCTGCTATTTTCAATCTTTCTTTTATCGACCAAGTGTTAAACTAATAATAATGTCCTCCAGACCGAATTTCGGCCACGGTGGCCTGCCTCAACGGAGGCCAGCCATCGGCGCAGGACAGGATTGCCTAAGTGTACGCGCGCGCAAGCACAGGTGCACTCTCTATTCCCTCACTCTCATAATCCAATGGGACGGTAAATCGACACGACCGGAGAGAGATCAGGCGCAGGACCAACGGCTTTACGTGCTTTCCGGGGCACGGGGGTGAGACACCGCCAACTTCCTGACTCCGGGGCAACTACCGAGAATTTCTTGACGGAAAAACTCAATAATTAATTTTTTGGCCCGACCCGGGATTCGAACCCAGGACCTCATGATCAGCAGTCTCACTACTACAACACACTACTAGACGTTAAACTAATAACCAGTATAACACGCTGATATTGCATTAGTAGGCCGTCAGAAGTACTGGGAGGTTTAATTATACTAAAAAGGTCATTGTCATTATACGCGAAAAAATCGAAAACTGCGAAGCTGTGGTCGGGTCGTTAATAAAATGATAAATCTGTAACTATGGCGTCAGTATCTAGGTATCCAATTATTTAGATCTACTTATAAATAATAATATATTACCTTTCGGTACCCTTAGTAACAGTAAAGAATGAAAAGTCGACATTCCTATTGTTATTTAAGCATAATATGTATGCTATACAGTACCTTTTGGCTTTTTGAGAGGCCATACTTGAATAATAACTCTAAAATAAATATCAAAATTGCCTAAATAATTATAAGAGAACAATATTTTTTTGTTAACGTAACTGAACTAGCCCCATGCATGCATAGGTATATTTTCATGCCTTAAGCGCGGAGCGAGACAGGCCTGCTTGTAGTAAGGTAATGGTGGTCCTAGACCGGTTAATTTCCAGAAATTTACCGTCATCTACATCCGACCTCAACATTTTTTCAGCACTTAATTTCTGCTATTAATATTTATCGTATATCTATTATCGTCTCTGCATTACTAGCAATACGTTTTGCCAGTAACGGAAATTTCAAGTTAGTTGCGGTAAAAATTTTAGAGCACTTAATTTTTAAACTTTACAGCAAATTAGCACCTAAAAAGCCTCTAATTTTGGCTTTTTCTAAATGCTAATTCCTGACACTGCATTGCTGGTGAGACACAGCTCACTAATTTGGTTTTAGTACCCTTCATTTAGTCCCCTGGACTTGTTTTTTCCAGAATTAGAATTACAGATGTAAAATAAATCTGTATAGAAGTCATGTGACCTTTCTATACAGATTTATTTAAATACAGATTTCGTAATTTCGTTTTAAGGGTTTCCACCTTGCCACCACCTTGCAACTTCAAAACCATTTCTTGCCATACAAACTGTACATTTTTTAATTTTAACACTTAAAGACTTTGAACAAAAAAAAACATCATGCATTATAAATATTAATTCAAAAGTAATTTTCAAGTTAAAAAAAAAACATTTAAATTATTTTTTCTATACAAATATGAAATTGCTCCGGAAAATAATAAGTTTCGTACAAACTATAACAGCCTATATCACCGCCTAAGGAGCTGAATTTTCCAAAATCCTCTTCAGTCGATGCCTACGCCCTTTCATTCAATTCTAACAAGAATATCCTGGTGGTGTTTTGTCCATGCATACGTATTCCCGTTTTCTACCTGGATAATAACACTAGAGTGACATTTTTTACGGCTGTATCTACTGTACAATTTGTAGCTACCACTACCATGCCTTGTTTTGTCTTTATATAAATTATTTCAAAAATCTAAGAAACTTTGAAATAACTAAAACTGCCCAGTTATACCGCCGTTATGATACATATTTAACAAACATAAAAAAACACATACAGACAAGTATCCAAAAACTGACTTCTCTTGAAAAATAAATTAAAATCGGCTCAATTTTGAAGAAGGAACGGGTAAATTCGTAATGATATTATGAAAAATTGTTCCTTGGTAGAATTAGACCTAGCTGCAATTCTCTTTCTCGGTTGTTTAGATCGGTCATTCGGGCATCATGCAACAGGAATAGATTGTTGAAAACCTATTCTTAGCTCAGATATCTTCTTATGATGACTGATTAAAACATATATACAAAGCAAATATATGTTGCAGAAGTGAATGGAAGAGTCGGAAAGGGACGTCCTAGGCGAAAGTTTGTCGACCAAATTGGCGACAATATATTAAAAATGGACCAAATTAAAGAGTACCCTTAACCGACGGGCATGTATGCATAGGTATATGGATGTGGATGAGGCGAGAGAGGTATGTCAGGATCGTGCTAAATGGAAGTCTGTAGTCTCTGCCTACCCCTCTGGGTGACAGGAGTGAGTGTTTATTAAAACAATCGAATATATTAAACATTGTTTATTGAATTACTTGTATGATAAGATAATATTGACAGAAGTTTGAAGCTTAAAAATAGGAAACCTATAAATTCTTCTCACAATGCTTTATTGTTAACAAGCATTATATTTAAAAGTTGCTGAATAGCACTTTGTGAAAAGTGGAAATATCTGGTTCTACGTTTGAATTAGTGCTGTACAACGCCGGCTTGGTACTGGTCCTAAAAAATAAGACAAGACTAATTAACATGTTACGATGTTATGGATTTTTTATTGATAAATTAAAAAACGGAAAAGTGAGCTTTTAATTGACAAATTTATTATCCAGTGTATCTATGAAAATTCAAAATCTTATTTTTTTTACTTAAGAATAACTTAAGAATACATATTCTGAAATCATCCATATTATAAAATTACTATATGTTCAATGGATCTGGTCTTTACCTATGAACGATAATTAAGAACATTTTTCCAAAAAAGACTAACTGAACAAAATGTATAAATGCCTAATTTATTAAATACATTCATGTCATTTTATGGGCAGTTTTGTTGATGCCCTAACTATAGAAGGTTGCTGCAGAGGATCCATTAACTCTTCAAAGGTGTTTTCTGCTGCTTCTTCAGGTAAATTTTTTTCTTCCACCAAATAAATAGTTATCTAATCTTTGAAAAAATTATGTTGTGTCATATGGTGAATGTGAAGGGCCTAACACTTTAGCTCTGCTAATTTTTCTAATATCTCTTAAATTGAGTATGTGAGTTGATTGGATTGTTTAAGTAGAAGCTTTCTCGCTATCATTTGCAATTCTTGACAAAAATAAATATGAGGTCAGTTCGTGAAGAACCTATGTATGTATTTACCGATTTACCTCAAATGATCTTCTATTGCTTTGACACTTAAATCGAAGGCTAAGTTTATCATTACCAACCTTCTTCTCTTAACAGTCACGAGATTCATTTGAGCGATCGAAATTTACCAAACCATCTTTCTCCTGCGTCTCTTACAAGATTATCACCAGATCTAGTAGGGGGCCGTCCTACACTTCGCTTACCTTTCTTTACCATCTGTTGTTGTGTTGGTTCTTTGAGCTATATGGCTGCCAACTTAGCTTACTGAACTGTTGGGCTACGTCAGTTACTCTGGTTCTACTGCAGATAACCCTATTTTTAAGCCTATCACGTAGAGAAACCACGACATAGCCCTCTCCATAGCTCGCTGAGCCACCTTGAGAGTCCTCATTTGGCCAGGAGTGAAGGTCCATGTCTCAGATCTATAAGTAATCAGTAAACTGCCAGTGATTGCACTTGCAACACTCACTGGTTGTAAAATCTTGTTTTCAAGATTTGATGTATACCCTGACTAGAAGATGTGTCGTAATCTCCCGACCGCTGCCCAGCCGAGTTGAATCCGTCGATTGACCTCTCCGGCCGCAGTTGTACTTACCTAGTCGGACTATCTCTCCTAAGTAAACGTCGACGAATTCGAGCTTAGCGCTCCCAACAACTATCGCAATAGTGAGACATGGATGTTACATATGATCTTCGTTTTATTCATGCTCATCTTAAGACCTATTCGTTGGGAGGGAGACACTATTGAGGTCTTCGAGCATAGTGCTGAGGTCTTCCAGCGATTATGCATAACGACTATATCGTCGGCAAATCGAAGGTGAATAATGTACACAGTCCAGTCAATTAGCTTAAAAATGTCTTCCAATGAAGCGGTGAAGAATTTCGGGGATATAACGTCACCCTGGCTTACACCCTTCCATAGATGGATAGGTTTCGTACTCTGGTTCTGTACTCAGATAGCCATCGTAGCCCTACTGTACAAACCAACACTTTGATATACCAAGAGTCAACTTGGCACCACTGAAAGGACTGCAGCACCACTCAAATTTCGACGGAATCAAAGGTTTTCTCATTGTCCACATATGCAAGACTTGCATAATGACAAATTTCCGGACACAGGCTTGTTAGGAAGGCTGGAATTCGTCGACTCTGCGTGCGGGACAATTCGTAATTACTCTCGAAAACAGCATGTAGACTCGACTTAGAAGAGAAATCGATCTGTTTCTTCAAGAGAGTGTTATCGCCTTTCTTGACGAACAAGACCACTTTCTCTTCACACTTCTGCTCCATGCCTTCGAAGTAGTACCACGATGGAGCATGGAGCACAATTGAAGACCTTTTAAAAGACTTCAAATATTGTTTTTTTTATAAAATAAGGATGACAAATGAGCACACAGTCCACCTGATGGTAAGTGGATACTGTGGTCCATAAACATCTACATCAATCCTCAACAAAGAATCAAACGCAAATATGTTGTCACCCCAGAGGACTAAAGTGGAATGCCTTGTTTACAGTAAAAAGGGCTTCCGATCCTCTATACTCACCATACGAAAACTAGCGGCAGCATTAAGCTGGTATTCTGTGAGTATTGTACTTCCCCAGTCGAGCCGACCAATTCGTGCTGCAACTATAACATAGATGCAGCATGGCTCTACCCATGGTATTCCAATCACTTTCAGAAGCTCCGCTGTAATTCCAACCTCTCCCGCGGCCATTTTTAAGATGCTACAGGGCCGAGTTTGCAGAGAGAGCAGGCTTAGGTCTGGGATATCATCGGAATATTGTAGGATAAGACTTGCTCTCACACTTGTGTATGAGTAACGATCCCAATTTCTGCCCGTGAAAATCTCAATCTTACTCAAAATCTTGGGTGTTCCAGAAACAATGCTGCCGTAAATCTTTTTTTTTTAAATAGGTATAAGGGATTAAAGATTTTCCCGCATAAATATAATTGAAATCCAAACAAAGTCTAAAATCATTTTTATGTACACATCTGGTTTTATATTAATAACTCCAGTGTAAAAACTCACCGCACATTTGTAGGTGTCGATCGTGGTGTTACTAGAAGACAATTCATTGGCTGTCCGTCCAACTGTCGATTGTGATATAAATCAACGGCTCTCTGAGCATCTTCTATACTGTTGTATATTACTTCTGCTGTTCCTGGACGTACTAAACGTGACTCTAACATTCCACCAACATCACCGAATAATTCCTAAAAAATAAAGTTTGTAAATTAAATTTTTTTTAACTATAACCTAATTTATTTAATTTTAATTTTTATCAGCCCGATAAGTCTTCATCTAAACATGAGTTTCCTCAAACTGATATAGACTGCAGTAATGACCATGCTTAGTATGGTAATTTTTGCTGCTCGTAATGGACATACTGCTTTTCCTTCAATGGCTACAAACTCCTTTTGGCAATTTCCAGTGAACTCTTACGATTCCCGCAAGACGTAATGGGGTGAGATTCTCATACATTATCACCAAATGGTTAATCATTTTGATACAAATAAAAGTCTGACAAGATAATGGACAGATTTTTCTATGCAAACCAATGTAATGTAATAACAAATTCGTATGAATCTGTTATTCGACTGTTGCCTTGAATCACTCCCAACACAAGCTTTTTAAGCTTGTTTGGAGCGGTTAAAGGAAAAATAGTAAAAAAAGTATTCTTAATATATCCAACTTTTAGGAAGACTGTCCCTTGTAGCATAGCAGTGAACAACGCAGTGTTTGTAGTATTTTAACTAGTGCAGGTTATTGTCTTTCAATTAAACTAGAAATCAAGCAAAGAAAGAAACCAAAAAGTACAATTGTATTTTAATTTTATAAAAAAAAAAACCAAGAGGTTGATTGTTGAGACTTGGTAAACAAGGCAAAACGGCTTTTATATCGTAATACCTCACTTTGTTATGCCCATTTTATGACATCATTTGGAGATGAAATAAAGTTTAAATAATTTTATGCACTTTTGGCCAAATAAATATGTGTCCCTTATATGATATAAACCGATCATAACAAGATTTAGAAATTAAAATTAAAATTTTCTTTACATACCGAATTCTGCGCATCTCATAATCTACCCTTATAAACCGATGAAGGGGCACTATAAAAGCAACAATAACCCAACATAGGTTTATGTGGTGTAAGGGGAATTATTATACCAACTTTTGATGTTATGTCAACATTTGTTGTGTGTACAAAAATATGCATGCATGTAAGTAATTAAGCACTAAAAGCTTTATAACTTCGGAAATCCTCATCTTAAGCATTGTAAAAATAACCAAGTACATTCCTTCCGACTTGTTCGACGTTCGATAAGAGAATGATGAATAACTGGGAAATTAAATTGTTTAATTCTTGCGAACTTTTTCAATATGAATTCCATAGACAAGGACAGATTAGTATGGAGGCAAGGAATAAGGCCTGTTTGCCAGTTAATGGTGATATTAATTACTGACATATGACATGCAAGAAAGTAAATTAAAATAAAGTTACAGCCTATATATGTCCCACAGCTGGGCACAAAACTCCCCTCATTTCTGAGGGGGTTTTAGGGCAAGGAAGTGTCCGCCGCGCAGCCCCAATGCGTGATGGCGAACTTAACATGTCTTTGAAATATTTTTTTTCTTATTCCTCAAACACGCAGGTTTCATCACGATGTTTTCCTTCACCGCCGAGCACGTGGTGAGCCGTGGCAGCTCAGATGGTTAACGCTCGGTATAAATATAACAGAACACGAGTAACCCGTGTTCGATCCCCGCGGGCACCAATGACATGCAAGAAGGTAAAGGAAAATGTGATAATACCTATGAATGTGTCTAAAAACTAAAATATACTAAAGAAATAGTATGTACGCCAAAACACAATACTATTCTGTAGTATTCAGACATATGTAAATATTACATGCTAAAAGTTCGAATAACAGGTTTAAACTATTACAGATTTATTCTTTCAGATCATGAGGCCCCTGTTGGTCCTGTCAGGTTTAAGATTCGGAGGCCGAGAAGCCCGGCCCGATAAATATAATATGTCTCGACTGCACCGGCAGACGAAAACTATACTTAAGCTCCAAATTCGTAAAATAAATTGAAACCATTTTGACGCCTCTTCACATAACTCAACAGTTATTAGACTTACACACAGGTAATTGAACTGGTCTTGCTTCGACTGCCTTATGCAAGCCTTGGAGTATTTTATCCCATTTATGTCATATTTATATCTCATAATTACAAATGTAATAAATCAAATATGTAATTTAATTATAATATTCAATACTTACTTCAATATCACCCCCTGTGACAGTGTTACGTAAATTACTAACAATTATTCTGTATTCCAAAACTGGCTTCTCCGTTTTTTCTTCTTTTTTTTCATTTCTTAAAGCTGCCATAGGACGTTTTTTAAGTATAGATGGTGGCCTTGGGGGACTTGGATCTTTTTCCAAAACAGCACTTCTGTAACATCATTTGTAACACACGATTTGATGCCCTGCTGGTAAATTTCGACTTCCTAATACGATTATTTAAGACAGAAGGTGTCAGCTACACAACAAATATTATATAATAGTCCAACAAGATGTATGTGTAAACAAATAAGCACAACTCCTAATCTATACAAAGCTCATGTAACACTCATAACTTTAGAATTTAGATTGAAGATCGGTTAGGATACATAAGCACATTCACGCCTATCACCCCGAGGGGTAGGCAGAGACTACGAACTTCCATTTGGCACAATCCTGACATACCTCTCTCGCCTCCATTACATCCATATATCTACGCATACATACTCGTCGGTTAAGGGTACTTCTAATGTGGCCCATTTTCAAAATATCGCCGATTTGGTCGATAAACTTTCTTCTAGGGCATCCCTTCCCGGCTCTGCCGTTCACATCTTCCAAATAAATTTGCTTTGTCATTCTTTCCTCATTCATTCTCTCTACATGACCAAACCACCGAAGAAGCATTCCTTTCTTAATCTTGGTCACAACATCATCTTGCATACCACATTTAGCTCTATCACACAATTGACACCTGTCATTCAGATTCAACCCTAGCATACTCCTTAAAGACCGAATTTCTAGAGCATTTATTCTACTTTCGTGCTTCTTCTGCCACACCCAACTTTCACTAGCATACATTAAAGTAGGGATTAACACAGCATTATGAATTACCATTCGTGCCTTTTTTCACACACATTCTGATTCTTCATATTAGAGTGTAGTGCCCCATTCACTCTATTTCCTGCATTAACTTATCGTTCTATATCCTTATCATATCTACCATCCCTGCTAAATACACATCCAAAATACACGAACTCATCCACTTGCTCAATCAACTCCTGTTCTATTCTTATTTCACATAACGTTTTGCTTTCTTCTCTTTCTAAAACCATCACTTGCGTTCACATTCATTCCCCTTTCTTTTAATGCCCAGTTCAATAATGTAACCATCATTTGCAACTCAGACGCAGACGAGGCAAATATGACGTGATCATCGGCGTACAAAAGGTATTTGACGGTTAACTCGCCTATTCCTAACCCACATTATTCATCATTCAAAGTTTGCAAACAACTTTTCATAAATAGGTTGAACTGCCAAGGGGAAGCTACACAGCCTTGTCTGACACTTTTTGGATGCCAAACCAGTCAGAGTCGACCCTGTTGATCCTGACACAAGCACTAGAGTCCCTATAAAGAGACCCCATTGCCTGTATCAAACCAGCGCTCAACCCAAATGAGTTCAGTGTTTGCCATAACACAGTCCTGTCCACTCTGTCATAAGCCCTTTTCAAGTCCATGAACGCACAAAAAACTTTCTGGATTTTGGCTAAAAACTTCTCCGCAATCATGCGCATGGAAAAGACTTGATTTGTACACCCTATTCCCTTTCGAAATCCCGCTTGCACATCCCACATTTTTTCCTATCGCTTTCTAACCTTTCAACTAACACCTTAGCATACAGTTTACCCACAATACTAAGCAAGCTGATTCCACGGTAATTTTTGCACTCCTGCTAAGGTTCAAAATTGGGCATCGCTACATAGTGGCCAGATATTCTGAATACTAGGCTATGCCTACTCTTGTCATTGTCATATATATTATATATAAAAATCCTCATCTATGAAATTGCCAATTACATATATAACAAAGTTAATTTTTTTTAAATAAAAGTGTTTAATTAAACAAAGTGTGGGCCATTATTGTTGATGTACTTCTACTATTTTAAGAGAACTTTGATCCATCTGCTATGGAAATCAATGAATTCTGTAAAGACATTTTGTACTAGCTCATTAGAGTTGAAAATTAGCGTTAAATTTGTTTAATTAAAAAACCGTGTTTGACTAGCTTGAAGATCATCAATTTCAGTTCTTGACAGTGTACCGTGCGGTGACTGTTGTAATAAACAATTCAATCCAGGGCCCACCATAACACCACATGAAGATCTTTTGGAGTCAATCTGCGTTGAGAACACAGTTTGAGTTCAAACATTGCAATAAAGGTTTTCGATTATCATCTGCATCCCTTAACTTGTGTGCTGAGTCAACAATTTAAGGCAAACTCCTTTGCAAGTTTGCTGTAGACCATCAGGTAATTTCAGACTTTTTTAAGATTCCTTACTTTCGTTTTATAAGTTACATTACAGGTACAACAACTCTGTGTGGTGTAAGATGAATCTTCTACCACTTACACTTATAATTTGAGGCTTGTTGTTGAGGTTCCAGTTTCCTGAACGCAAGTGATCAGATCAAAATCGTAAGTGCATTCATTTACAGTATTGGTGCCGCGAATAAATTCGGGATTCGAAAATAATGAAAAATTTTCACTTTTTCATGATCGCAGATAAATTTATATTTAAAGTTTGAATGTATTAAAACTAATGAAAATGGCAATTTCTTAGGTAAGGTTATGTTACCAGTAAAATATTTGTGCTAATTAATTTAAACTATAACCTGCGAATTGTCGAACTTCTGTTATTCCGTAAGTCATGATTATGGGTAACTATCTTTAACTGTAAGCTTGCCTTCCTATTTGACAAGGCAGTTTGTCTAAAAATATGGTCGTCTTCCATAGGCTCATCAATAATTTCAATATCATTTTCAACTGTACGAAGTATAGGTTTTAATGGGGCAGAGCTGGCTGAAATAAGAAACTCAAGTATAGAATTCGTCAAGTTCACAATATAACAAAATGAAAGGCACACTATACAATAACTTTTAGCAAACATACCCAAAGAACGAGATCCAACAGTGCGTTTATCTGTAATTATCTTGTTACTGGTATTATTTATTTGGCGCCTTGTTGAAACTTTAGTGTGAGAAAGCGGTTGTCTTGTAACCTGCCTAGATGGATCCACAAAAACTGCAAAAATTAAAGTAATACATAAGTATTCAAAACATTAAAAACATATATAAAAATATAAATGATTTTATGTAAATTAAGGATCATAAATAAGCTTTACCTCTTTCTTTTCTAGGTATTGTTTTCAAAAATGTCTCTCTACGATGAAAAACTTGATCTTGAACTTTAGGGACAGCTTGCTGAAATTATAAGAATAAGCCAATTAAGTAGTTTATTTTTTTAATCAAGTGTTATGTGATTGTTGAAATTGGGAACAGAAATTCGAAATGCACTTTTTACAATAAAATATTTATTAAAAATTATGTGATTATGAATTAATTATTAATTGTAATATAAAATGTATATTACCCCAAACAATCATCTCAATTCTTTTTATTAATCTATGATAACAATCTTAAGAATTAATAAAAGTAAAACATACAAATAAATAATAGAAACTCTTCCATTTATCATTGTAATTATTCTTTTATTTTGTACAGGATAATATGATAGCAAAAAAGTTGTGTATACAGTATCTAAGTTGTGTTCTCTCCGATATTATATGTTTGAATACATATTGGACACATTTTAAAAATTACAAACCTATAGGTCTATGCAGTGGTGGTATAGGAGAATCCACTACTTATCTATTACCCCATAGTGGCATAAAGGATAAGTAAATATTATTTAAAGTATTATGCCCTCAATGCCGTAACAATATTACAAATTGCTTTAACGGCATGAAGTAAAAAAGTATAGGAACATTGTTTACATTAATGAGTATCTATAATTCATTTAAATATTGACAGCCACAATTTACTCTTTGGGGATACTCTTTCCAGCTCAGTTCAGCAATGACAGAGGCGTGCGCAAATTATATACATCTTCAATTGGAGCTCCAATCACCCTTTGAAACATCCAATTAAGTACACATTGATAATTGTAATTGACCGTTTCAGAGGCCATTACAAAGTTATAATTAATACACCACTGGTCCACTCCAAATTTAAAAATTGTACTTTTGACATAGCTAATTAAGTCATTTCATAAGTGAATAACCTCAAATTTAGTAGGAACTTTTCTGCCTGGGGATCTCAGTAGGTGCCATCCTCCTATATTTTTTATCGTGGGATTAGGATTTCTCATAAATACTTTTGGAGGCAACAGAGGTTATGCTAGACTCCTACTGACTAGCACCTCAGGGTGCACCACACCATCAGCATATATGAGGGATCCCGAGATCTCCATTCGGAACTCAACCGGGGCCCTCTTTCGCTTTGCTTTATTAAAGCACGTCCTGCTCACCTGCACCCTCGCAGTGCTGTCACTGTGTCTTGAGACCAGTTCCGAGTCACCATTCTCTTCAGGGTTACATTGTTAGGTGTTCCGGGCCCTAGGACAGTGTGCCCCTAAATCAATAGCCATAGACCGTCTTGTAGAGGAAAACCATCACCCCGAAGAGTAGGGCCGAGACGAACGCTTTGGCGTGGTCGTCTCCGAGCGGATATACCTCTCTTGGCATTGCTTGGCAGCCTTCTTCTGGACCATAATGAATCCACAGTAAGCGACTATGGCTGTCCACGCCGAATCACTGTTCAGCATCGCCGACGAGACTGCTGGCAGAGCTCTCCCTAACCAATCCAGCTTACCAAGATCGTCTGCTTTCGTTCCCACTTTGGACATATTGCCAGTGTATGGTATCCGGGTTGTGGTCCTGTAAGCAATGTCCAGGAAGCAGTTCGCCGTCGCTTCGCCTCTGGTTTTCACAATCATTGAAACACCCGTGCCCGGTCGAATGAGTCTTCCTGTTCATTGACGCATCTAGGGTTCGAAGTGCAGTAGGATTGCTTCAAAAACGCGTTAGAGTGTATAACACTTCTCAGAGAGACGACACGCCACTGCAAATGCGTGAAATGGTTCCTGCCTCTTGAACTCTCTCGAACCCCTAATCTGGCCCACTCCCACTACTCTGTTGAAGGACGGGAGTTTGGTCGTACATCTCGCATCCATGTCCTCCAGTATGTCTAAAGATGGAAAGCCAGCAAAGACTACTGCCACCTTAAAGGATACTGTGTGGTATCCTCGCATGATTTGTATCATCTTCAGCTGCATACTATAGATTTTAGTCCCACAGTGTCAGATGGCCATCTTTTCGCCCATAAAAGCACCCAATACAAGGCCACGGACCGTATCACTCATACACACAGAAGTGACGCACTTTTTCCCTTCATCATTATCATCATTACAGCCCTTCACAAGTCCACTGCTGAACATAGGCCTCCCCCAAGTAATGCCACAAAGCACGGTCCTGAGCCACCTGCATCCATCGACTTCCTGCATATCTTAACAGGTCGTCACTCCATCTAGTGGGGGGTCGCCCTACACTACGCCTACCGGTACGAGGCTGCCACTCGAGAACCTTTCTTCCCCATCGGTTATCGGTTCTTCGAGCTATATGGCCGGCCCATTGCCACTACAGCTTACTAATCCGTTGGGCTATGTCGGTCACTCTGGTTTTACTGCGGATATCCTCATTTCTGAGTCTATCACGCAGAGAAACTCCGAGCATAGCCCTCTCCATAGCTCGCTGAGCGACCTTGAGCGTCCTCATACGGCCAGCAGTGAAGGACCACGTCTCAGATCCGTAAGTCATCACTGGCAACACGCACTGGTTGTACAATCTAGTTTTTAGAGATTGAGGTATACCTGACGAGAAGATGTGTCGTAATTTCCCGAACGCTGCCCAGCCGAGTTGAATCCGTTGATTGACCTCTCGGTCGAAGTTGGACTTACCTAGTCGGACTATTTGTCCTAGGTAAACGTACTCGTCAACAACTTCGAGCATAGTGCTTCCAACAACTACCGGCATAGGTGTGACATGGACATTAAATATGATCTTTGTTTTGTCCATGTTCATCTTAAGACCTATCCCTTGGGAGACACCATTGAGGTCATTGAGCATAGTGCTAAGGTCCTCTAGCGATTCTGCCATAAGGACTATATCGTCGGCAAATCGAAGGTGAGTGATGTACTCGCCATTGATGTTAATACCGTATCCTTTCCAGTCCAGTAGCTTGAAAACGTCTTCCAACGCAGCGGTGAAGAGTTTCGGGGATATAACATCACCCTGTCTTACACCTCTCTGCAGTTGGATAGGTTTCGAGCTCTGGTTCTGTACTTGGATAGCCATCGTAGCCCTACTGTACAAACACTTCAGCACTTCGATATACCGACAGTCAACTTGGCACCGCTGAAGGGACTGTAGCACCGCCCAAATTTCGTAGGAATCAAAGGCTTTCTCATAGTCCACATACGCCAGGCAAAGTGGCAGATTGTACTCTTCAGTCTTCTGTACAATCTGCCGCAGGGTATGTATGTGGTCTATGGTACTGAAGCCTTTTCGGGAACCGGCTTGTTCGGGAGGCTGGAAGTCGTCGAGTCTGCGTGCGAGACGATTCGTAATGACTCTCGAAAACAGCACGTAGACGCGGCTCAGAAGGGAAATCGGTCTGTAGTTCTTCAAGAGAGCGTTGGCGCCTTTCTTAAAGAACAAGACCACCGCACTTCTGCTTCACGCCTCTGAAGTAGTGCCACCATGGAGGACGGAATTGAAGAGCTTCTGAAGGACTTCAAGTACCGGTGTTCCACCCGCTTTCAGAAGCTCCGCTGTAATTCCATCCTCTTTTTCCCTTGGGCCTCCTAAATTAGGCAGTAGTTTAAGCATAGCACGCACTGCCCTTTCAATCCAACTAGGTGAAGATTTTGTGAATCCCCAGTGACTGTCCAGGTAGTGGCCTAGTGCACCGCACTTTGACATCAGACCTACCATGGAGGAGCCACCCCCTTACTTAATGTGTCACTAAATAGCAGTGCCTGCACTGCTGCTTTTCGGTCTAAAAGATTTAGGGCATCAGTATGACTTCAGTTTATGAGACAATCCATGACAGATGACAATGCATTTGTAGCCTTCCCCTTTTTTTAATTGGCTCAGGTATCTATGAATTGCAGTAGACACTTACCATCAGGTGGACCGTAAGTTTGTTTGACACTTTGGTTTTATAGAAAAAAATTGCTAATGTTTCTTTTTTTTTAGGATAGGGTGACAAACGAGCACACAGTCCACCTGATGGTAAGTGGTTGCTGTGGCCCATAGACATCTACATCTATCTTCAATTACGAATCAAAATGCAGATGCGTTGTCACCCGTGAGGACTAAGATGGAATGCCTCATTTTCAGTAAAAAGGGTCTCCGGTTCTCTACACTCACCATACGAAATACAGCATCATTAAGCTACTATTTCACGCCGGTATTCTGTGAGAGTGTGGTCCTTCCCCGGTCGAGCCGACCCATTCGTACTACAACTATACATCTAATATAACTGCAGCATGGCTTTACCACGTATTCTGCAGGATAGCTGAGGATTAAACTGAGAAGAACAAGATCTATCGTAAACGTTTAAACATTGATTGAGGGCCAGATTGTTTTCACACACAAGAATTATAAATGACTTCAATTATTGATTTTTTTGTATTAAAACAATCTGTCCCTTAACCTAACTGAATGTTTAAGCTTTTGTAATAGATCCTATTCCTTTTATTTATCATCAGAACTAAAAATTTATATGGGATCACTCTGGAAGTATGATCTATTAGTAAATAAAATACCACCTTAAATTAATTAATTTAAAAAATATTGAGTAACATAGATTAAAAAAGGACTTTAAATGTGTAACTGATGGGAATCATGGTTGGCTTTGTTTAGATTTTTGTTTTCATTGTAATGTTTAAATATATCTATATCGATTCTAAGTCAAAGAAAAATAACACACTTGCAGAGTGATTCCTATAAGGCAAACAATTAACACCAGTTACACCATTGCACTATCGAAATATTACACACTTACTCTTCTTTCCCTTAACTGCTGTAATTTTAAGCGAGCATCCTTTTGCTTTGCAAGTTCAGCTAATTTTTCTCTAGCATCAGTTATTTGTGTCCTCTTCTTAGATATAATTTTATTACGAGCATCTATTATTTTCAACTTTTGAGCAGGTACTTGTTTTTTAGGAGGTAATTGTTTCTTCACTTTGCTATTATTCCTTTAATAAAGCAAAACAATAATAACTATATCTTAAGATTAACGTATATTTGTAATGAAATGTAATTGTTATTGATTTTTGTCAATAAGTCGAACACCTTTTCATTTAAAAAACTGCTTGACCTTTTCTCCTAAATATTGAAACATATGTAATATAGTCGACAGTTGTTATCATCTGAGTCTTCATGACATACATCTTTTTGTTTTCTATAAGTAAACGACAAAGTCCCATAGTGATGAGCATTTTCTTTGACATTTATTTATTTCTTGGTATGAATTTAAAAAGTATATACTTAAGTATGGTAGCTATGGAGCAGGCTATGCTTGGGGTTTCTCTGCATGATAAATTTAGAAATGAGGATATCTACAGTAAAACCAGAGTGGCTAACATAGCCCAACAGAATAGTAAGCTGAAATAGCAATGGGCCGGCCATATAGCTCAAAGAACTGACAACCGATGGGGAAAAAAGATTCTCGAGTGGCTGCATTATACCGGTAGGCATAGTGTAGGGCGACTTCCCACTAGATGGAGTGATGACCTGGTAAGACATGCAGGAAATACCAATGGATACAGATGGCTCAGGACCGTGCTTTGTGGTGTTCCTTAGGGGAGGCCTATGTTCAGCAGTAGACTTGTGAAGGGCTGTAATGATGATGGTGATGATGATATACCTAAGTATAAATACATGCAAACACACCAGTAAGTAGCACCCCCCTTTTTTGAAATTCGGTTAAAAATAATAGGCTGTCCCATCACTAGTTACATATTAGGTGAGGTAAGTGTAACTGTATCTGTACTTCAAGGAATACTGAATTTCAGGTTGCAGAAACACATTATAAGTATCAATATTATTCTTTATCACTCACTTTGGTTTAAAATAACTTAACGACATATTGAAACACTTAATAACTTCACCTCATAAAATTGCGCTCTGTCACCAGTTTAGTAGTTTTACAAAAATAATATCTGTTGATAAAATAGTTCAAGCTATGCACTTAACTGTCAGTTTATTCAATAGCGTAATAATTCCTGTGTTGTTTAATTATATTAGAGCCATTTATTTCCGAAATTTGGGGTTACATAATATTTGTGTTTGAGTTCCTATTGTAATACTAGTTAAAGTAAGTCCCTCAGTTCGGTGTGCCTTTTGGCATAGGCCTTCTCCAACTGCTTGCATTGGGTTCTGTCTGCTGCTACCCTTATCCAGTATGGTCCCAAGGTTAGGCGGATATCGTCTTCCCATCTTCTGTCCAGCCCCATTTCAGATGGTCAATTCGGGTCAGAATGTCAGCAACCTTGGTATTATTTCTTATTTCCTTGTTGTTAATTCTATCCTTGAGTTTTATTCCCAACATACTCCTCTCCATTGCTTGTTGACATTTCGCAAGTTTCTCCCGGTGGTTTTGGTTGAGGGACCACGTCTCACAACCATATGCAATGCAGGGTAGAATACAGGTGTTAAATGTTTTCTTCTTGATAGAGATGCTTAGCTCTTTACTTTTCATTATTTCTCTCAGAGACCAGTATTTTTTCCAACTACTAGCAATCCTTTTGTTAATTTCCTTAGATGTTTGGTCACTAGGGGCAATTAATTGACCCAAGTACACATACTCTTGCACATATTCAAGTCTTTTTCCATCTAATTCTATGTTGACTTTTGTAGAGTTGGTCATCAGTTTTGTTTTGATTGTGTTCATTTCGAGACCTGCTTCTTTGCTTCTGTTGGCTAGAGTTTGTACCATTGCTTGTAGTTTACTTGGGTCTTCTTCCAGCAAGATAATATTGTCAGCAAACCTCAAATGACTTAAAAGACTGCCATTGATGTTGAGGCCATATTCATCCCAGTCTAGTCTTCTGAAGATATCCTCCAGCACAGCCGTAAACAGTTTGGGGGACAGTGGGTCTCCTTGTCTGACGCATCTATTAATGGGAAATAGGTCTCCTTTCGATTCCAGTTTGATGCGGCTTTTGCTCATGCTATAAATGTTTCTGAGAATCTCAATATAGGTATTATCTACTCCTTGCCATCTCAAAGCTGACCAAATGTATTTATGTTTCAAACTGTCAAATGCTTTTGAGTAATCTATAAAAGCTATGTAAACGGGTTTTTGGTATTCATTACTTTTTTCCAATATTTGTTTGATAGTGTGAATGTGGTCAATTGTGCTGTAGTTTTTTCTGAAGCCTGCCTGCTCTATGGGTTGATTTGCATCTAGAATTTTTGTAATTCTTTCAATAGCAATACTTTTGTGAACACCTTAGAGACGTTTGAGATCAAACTAATTGGTCTATAATTGTCAATGACTTCCCTAGGCCCTTTTTTATGCAGGAGAATTATGTGGGACTCTCCCCACTGATTTGGAATGACGCCCGACTTGAGTATGTTGTTAAATATCCTGGTGAGAATTGGAGCCAGTTCCTCTGCCGTGCCCCTCTTGAGCTCGTTTGGTATGTTGTCTGGCCCTGGAGCTCTTTCTAGTTTTTGAGAGTGTATGGCTCTCTTTACCTCTGCTATAAGTATGGGCGGTACGTCATCATATCTATTTGTTGGCGACTTATTGGTTTCTAATTCATGGTCTTCATCTATATTCGAGTAGAGAGCTTTATAATATTCCGTAGCGAATTTCTGAATTTCTTTACGTTTTGTTACATGACTGGATTTGTTGCTTTTAAGTCTAGAAATCCATTCCTTTCCATGGTCCTTTAACTCCTTAAAAGCTTTTTTCGTTCCGCCTGTTCTTTTAATTGTGTCTTCTAGTTTTTTAATTATTTTTATCTTCCTGTCTTTTCTCATACTTTCCTGTATCTGTTTGCTAAGGTTGGAAATTCTGTTAAGGTTTTCTTTACTTTTATTTTTATTTAGAATTAGTAATTTTTTTTTAAGCTCTATTGTTTTGTGACTGAATTTTTCCTGTCCTTTTTCGTAATTATTTTCTTAATTTCTGATAGTTATATCCAGTATATCCAGGTAATCATATTTAACTCGAACACTCAAATCAGAGTTAGCAATTTCATGCAGTGGCATGATGTGAGCTGGTTCAATATTTTTCGAGTACTGTTCTGGTAGCAATATCGGAGTGTTTGTTATAGCTTCCCTCAACTTTTTTGTTGGATACATCTTTAGGTGTCCGCGCACCATTCGGTGGTTAGTGTTGAAATTCAAATTCAATGTGTTGTTTAATAGATGAAATTAAACCAAAGACTATGTTTTGGCAACATAATTTGCATTTGTTACACTTGCCCCACTGTCACACTTGCCTCGGGCGACTTTCAAAGTTATGTTTTATTTTAATATTTATCAAATAAAGCTCATATGTATTTATAAAATAATTAAATTCTCTATTGTCTTTTTATATGGGAAATAAAAAAATACTTAATTTTATTCAATTACAGAATCATCTACTCCATCCATGGGTGTTGTCTCTCAAACTCAAAATAATAAATACGGTGGTTGCCAATCCACCTTGGTAGGTGGATTGGCAAGCATGGCAACTACGGAAAGTATCCCCCCTGAGGCAATCTTTGTGAGATGTAAAGAATGAATGGATAAAATAGACACTTGCTTAAAATGAATCACCCATACTCTTTGCTAAATTTCTACGGCCCTTTTGATTCAAGTAACCTATACATAATTTAAATAAATGATTTTTTATAAGTTTAATCTACCCCCAAGTGCAAGTAATAAATAACACTTATTTATTAATTTCAATTACCATTTCTACTTTGAATGAAATGAGGTTTTATTTTTGTACATTTTTGACCTGCGATACAATAGGACTACAGGAAATTTTCATTATCAGTCAGTTTAATTTATTGCTGCACCTAGCCCTACCAAAACAAACGGGTTTCCACAAATACTACATGATTATTGGAAAATGAATATACCCTGAAGATAAACCTTTTTCCGAGCTATAACAAAAATAAAGATTTAACATTTACAAATCGTTTGAAAGACAATAAAAAAAATCAAATAAGATGCATTCCTCAGATTATGAGCCTTCAAATCGATTGTAGGTTTTGTACTGTAGAGCCGGCGAATGGGTTGTGTGTGCTTTTATATTATTATTGATATCAAAATGATGCTGCTAATCATATATTATCAGTTTCCCTCTTAGGACAGCCACGGGAAGACATGGACACTTTCGCCGCCACTACATAGTTATTTAAAGAAAAATTGTTTGGCACATTTTCTGTTTATATTTCAAAATATAGTTATAATTTTCATTATAACTATATCTTCCCACTATTTTTCTTATTTACCTGGAATTTTCTCTTTTCTTTTTTTGTATAATGTCTTCTAAACTCATCTCAATATAAGAAGTCATAATTATAAAAGTTGTACACAAATGTGGTATTTGCAAAAAGTACTTGCATGTATAGAACTCGAGGAATAAATAAGTTTTGGTATTGGATTTAAAGAAAATGAAATTTTTTAATTGGTATATAGGTACCTATCCTACATACTCCAAGGCAAACGTTTTGTATTGGTTGGTTGGTATTGGTTGTTGGTTGTTGGTTGCAGTGTAGCCAGCATTAAAATCTAACTCCCGTTGTAGAGAACACTATAATCCCGTCAAGTACGGTAGACAAGTGTCAATCATTCATTTCTAGTGACCGAATCATTCTAGTAAATTTTGAAACACAATGGTTCCAGTACTCTGTTGAGTCTGTGAGATCTATTGGGAACCGAACATTTTCTATTTGACATTTGTAATAGCGACATCTAGTAGGTACATGCTATAGGTAATAAAGTCATTTTATCGATCTAAAACTTATTAGACTTTTAAGGATATCACAGGTTCACAGGATATGCGACTTAAACAGTAAAGAGAGAGAATGATATAAATAGAGTAGTTGATAGTTTTCTATATATAACAGTAGCGCATCATTTTGGCCGACCAACGACAAAACAGTTTCCGAGCTGTATTTAAAAGAATTACGTCAAATGAAAATTTACTCTCTCAACTTTTTAAAAATAAGAATGTGGAGCACATTTTTTCGTATTTTAAACTAAAACAATGAATTTAAAAAAAAACAAATCTAAAAAACATAAATGTTTGTTGTCCCATTAAAAAATCCGTTACCCGTTAAACACAATTTTTTCCCGTTGCCAACCTCACTGTCCTGTCAAATCTAACGGAAATCCCGTCAAGTTGGCAACACTGGTTGGTTGGTGGTTTCGTAATTTGTGAGATCGATTAATCGAAGAATCGATTTCTTGTGCCAATAAGATCGATTTTTCAATCGATATATATTACTGAATCAACCCTAAGTGAATCTATATTTCACCATAGGAAATCGAGATGGAATCTTTTTCTGTTTTTATAAGAGCTATAAAATGATTTACCATTAGCGGAATGTACCTAAACTCGTACAGAAAGACAGTTTTTCTATTCAAAACTCGCAAACTGTAGTTTCTTTCACCTCTTCGTAATGGATTAAAGAAATAAAAAGTTACGTTTGTAATCTGTACTTTGTTGTATCTTTTAATATTGTAATTAAAAACTCTGAAGTCCGAACGCAAATTGAAAAAATCGATTTTTGAGAATTCGATCTTTTAGAGCCTGATTTTTTTGTGAATCGATTCATTTGATTTCGATTCAAATCGATATTTTGCGGAAAGGATTGTCATCCCTAGCTTGGATTTTTTTTAATTTAATTGGCTTTACGGCTGGGTACTAGCTCTTCTGAGCCCATCATTTCTTTCAAAATCTTCTTTTTATATATTTTTTCTTCACAATATTCTGATGCGTCACATTGCAAAGTTCTTGGGAGATTTTAAGGACAGCTCAACCCAGCGGACTATTGATGACGATAGCCACTCAAGTTCATAAGGCATCCAAGCGATCAAATTAACTTGAATTTTATATCAACATCAAAGCACTTGTTTTGTCGTTTTCACTAATGGTTCACACGCGCAGACACTTAATTCACAAAATTACATCATTTTTACGAATTAAAATCCACTTCAAACCATTACTCAAGCGACAAAACAGGAGCGACAGTTCGTCGTCAGCCAAGTTCCCGCCAAAACCTCCTCCCTAGCTTGGGTCATCATTCTCTGCATGGAGTATAGAGGTAAGGAGGACAATCTCCCATAGGAGTATAGTTGAAAATGTGTCCATTTGTAAGCAGTAAATAACAGTTCAAAAACTCTCCACAACAGCGCTCGAGTAACAGGGTATGATAAATCGCCGTAAAATACTGTTACGAGCTTGAGGTTCGTGACAATAAAAATTGCGGATAGAATTACCAAAATTAACACTTTAATTCACTTTACACTAATTATAACTTAAAACACTAATAATTAACTATACTGATTCACTTTATTTCGCTCCGACGCTTCACTTGTCTCGTCAAATTCAATACTGCCTCGATCGCGTCTTGCACCGCCTTTAAATACACGTTTACACCGAAACATGCAGAATATTCCCGTAGATACGGGCGCCGACCGACCAGACGCAGATAGTTCGAGTGTGGGGGCTTCTAGAAAGCATAGTTCTTCAATTCGATAATAGATGGCGCTGTTGGTTAAAAGATTAGTCATGTCATTTTCTAGGAAGCCCTCCTCGCTCTGGTCCCCGACACTAGATGGCGCTACTGCCAGGTACCTGACATCAACTTAGGCGCTCAACACTGCCCCCTCCTAAGACATGCTCGTCCCGAGCATTATCGGCCCCATAATAACGCGCCAGTCGATCCACATGGACGATCTTAGGAGTACCTCTTGTACCTTTTCGAAACGGCTCCGCAACGTCAAGGGCTGTCCTCTTCCATGGTGCACCAACATTGTACAATTTCGATGCTCCTCTACTACGTGCCCGAGGTCCCTTCACAGCCGCACAACTGGTACATGTGCGACACCAATCCTCGACATCATCACGATAATGGACCCAGTAAAACTGTTCTCGGATCTTCAGTAGAGTTCGTTTAACTCCCATATGGACTCATGAACAACCATTATGGTACAGCTGTAGAACATTCGGCACTTTAGCTTTAGGGACAACCATTTGCAACCGACAGCTGTCTCCTCGACCATTGTCCAATTTACGGCACAGGACTCCATCCTGAATCAGCAAGCTGTCCCATTGGGCCCAATAGCTTCTAGTGGTCGAACTCATCGCTGAGACGTCGCTCCATTTGGGCTTGGTAGCACGGGCTTTCATCCATTCCAGAATCGGTTTGATGTCCGGATCTTCCTGCTGTGCATGTTGTAAAGCTGTCCTTCCATTCGTTGCTGAGGTGGTCTGTCCTGAGCATCCTCACGGATGCTACTTTCTTACTCTCTTGCCTAGTACTGTTCTCGCAATCATCAGGATGAGATCTTCTTGACAATGCATCTGTATTGCCTCGCCATTTCTCGCTGCAGTGTCCGATAGTAAAGTCGTTTTCCTGCTGCTGCTGGGCGGTGATGTTAGCCGCACTTCCCTTCTGAGATCGTTCACCTTCCCTATCTAGGGTTCGCTTAGGGCAGCTGGATCGAAGATGGCCCCTTTCCCCACAGCCATAGAGCACTTAGGGCTATATCTTTCATTGTGGTCGCGAACCGTAACTGCCGCAACCTCCCTAACGTGAGGGGAACTGTGATCCTGCCGGAGGCGGGCCATAGGCACTACTTTATCGATCAACTTCCCTTTCTACGGTTCGCTTGGGGCAGCTTCATCGAAGATGGCCGTTTTCCCCACAGCCATAGCACCTAAGGATGTATCCATTATTGCGGTCGCGAACTGCTATAGCTGCTGCAACCTCCCTGACGCGACGGGAACGAAGATCCTGCCGCACGGCTTCCACCTCCAGTGCATGGGCCAAGGCGTTCTTAAGCGTCTCGTGGTGCCTGAGCCTCTCAGCAGCTCTGACTTCAAGGTCGCGGATGCCGTCGATGAATGTTTGCACCAGGTTCCCTTCAATAAGCGCAGGTACAGACTGGTATGCTTTCCGAACCATCTTCTCCACCTCAAGGGTCCACTACTGCAAGTTTTCGTTGCTGAATTGCAAGCGATCTCTAAGCTGCGCACGAAAGACGTGTTCCAGATGAGCGTCGCCATATCTCGCCTCCAATGCCTCAAGGAGCTGCTTGTAGGTCACTTTCCTACCGAGAGCTTCCTACACAGTTAAGGCTTGGTCGCGCAGGCTTAGGGTGAGTGCAGTCATGGCCTGACTTTTACTCCAGCCATTCGCCTCCATGACAGCCTCGAACTGGATTTTGTAGGCTGACCAGGAAGAAGTCCCGTCGAACGGTGGCACTTTGAATCCCCGTACTAAAGGTTGCCACGGGGGCTGTTAATCCATCCCCAAGTTTGAGGTCGTTCAGCGTTTTCTTCATGTCAGCCATCACTTTGTTCAATTGGTCAATTCGGGTCTCAGCTTTCGACAGGCGTTTGTCAAACTGAGCAACCTTATCCTTTAACTCCCTTATCTCTTTCCCGAAGGTAGCGTGAATGTCCTTCATGAGAAGCATCTGCTCTATGTTATCGCGGTTGAGCTGCTCTTCCAAACGACGGACCTGTTCCTCTTGTCCGCCCCGCAGCTGCTCGAAGCTCGAAGGCATGTGAAGTTCGCCAACACGCAATGAGGCAGCGCGGTGGACATTTCCTAGCCCTAAATACAAAGTCAATAGCAGAAAGTGAAAAAGTTAAAAAATACTTTTTTAACAATGACCGTCATTAGTTGATCATTAGTGAATGTGATTCTGTTAACTTAAATTACAGGAAGACAAGAGCAGAAGGAAGAGATGGGATGATGGGAAGTAATGAAGCATTGTTATGTGAAGTTTGTTGGACAAACATATTTTTAGTCACTTGTAAATACTTTTAACTTTTTGATTCAAAATGACACAAAATCTAAAAAACATTGGATATATCATCGACATGGACGGATTTTACATTACATATCCTCTTGAACATTTTCAATGTAGAGAAATGGCTATTCTAGACGTAAAACTATCTAATAAAAATTATGCGTTTATTGATCATTATTTGTTTCGACCAAGTTATCCTTTATTATTATTTGTCGCCAAGACAAAAAAAACTGTTCGTTATTGCGAAACACACGTGCACGGCATTCCATATTTTGACGTGACCGAAGAATTAAAATGTGCCTACAAACAAAATAACATCATTCCCATATTGAATTGGTACATTAGAAATTTGTGCAAAAACGAAGTGATCGTATACAAAGGTGGTTCAGCAGAAAAAAAAATTAAAAATATTGACGACGAATGATAGAATTTTTAATATTGAAGAATACAAATGTCCAAAATACAATGATTTGGTAAATATCATAAATTTAAACAAACGTTATGTGTGAAATAATCATATATTTGCAA